CCTGTTTGTATAGTGATTGCTTCAGTAATTATTTCTTCTTTACTCTGGTATGGATCAGGAAATGGTACCTCTGTATTTTACTCTGAAAGATGTGAAAAGGAGAAGTTGGCTGCACAGTTTAAAGAACCATTTCTTTGAGGTCCAGGAAATGAGTTTCTTAGATTTTGTTGAGTCTACTTTTGCAATTCCTTTCTTTTTCAAAATTAAAAACAACCAAATATACAAGCTGCCACATGTTTCTAAATGAACTGGAAATCAAACTGCAACACAGAAAGCACCACATTAGTAGCTGTTCTTCAGAAAGCAGAAGTTTTCTCTGTGGAACTTTGTAAAAAAGAAACCAAAAGTGTCAGGTGTCTGCAGCAGCAACATCAGTTTGTGCAAGGAGGAGGAGGAGATGCAGCAAACGAGGGAGGAAGCATCTCGTCTGCAGCTCTGCAGCCACAGCCTCTCTGGCTGTCGCTCTGCATCAGCCCTCAGGAGAGCAGCCTCTGAGAGCTTCTCTGTGTTTGCACCTTACTGATACACCAAGGCAACTCACAAGTGACTCACACAAGCATCTGCTGGTGTGATCATGCACTCCCTACATGCAGACATGCATGCACAGCTACATGTAAGCTGCAAGTCACTCCCACATCTCCACATTGTTATTTTCAGGAGCACCTCATCAAGTCACAATGAGCCGAAGCAGCACACTGTGATGTCGTGTGCTGAGTACTGCTGTCTATGCAGCTACATCGATTCTGTGCAGTGCTTTGGCTAATGCATTTAAAAGCAAAGGAGAATATCAACACCATTTATTCACCATTGATCGGAGCCCCACCTGGGGCTAGACTAATAGAGCATGTCTGGAATAATCAACCCAAGCTATAGACAGGCAGCTCAGCCTGCTGCTGAAAAGGCCTCATCTGTAATGTCAGACCAGTCCTGCAACCTGACTATGAACAGTCTGTGCCTTTATGCACAGTGGTCACATGTCTGTTTAACTGACTTTTAACAATCCACATGGTCTGATGTAATTATGATTTATGTATGCAACAAGAGAGCTACCACTGACATTAGAGATAGTGGGGGTTGGGGTGCTTCCTGTAGCCAACAGCACATCTGCTCTTCCTTACAGCTAAGTGTTGTTCCCTTTTATTTCTCAGTCTTTTGTGTGTTTATTCAGAAAAGTGCTATAAAGAGTTTGTTCCCACTTTCCTGCTAGCTCTTATCTGTAAAGATGTTGCACAAAGCGGACATGACTGACAAAACACTTTGAGACCTGTGTTGTTACATACAAACATTTTAGTGTATTTAGACAGAACAGTCCATTTGAACACATGATTTCATCCAGGACTTTGCCTTAAAGGTTTCTTGAATTTAAAAGGTAACGAGATAATCAAGCGATTCTATACCTCAACTGTTTTGGCTCATGATATCAAAATAACAAAGAGTTTCCTAGGCCTGCACTGAGCAAGAATCAAGGAAATCCCCTTCTATAAACATACAGTAGGAGAAACCTCAGAGGGAATCACAAAAATAGAAACCCTCCACCTGAGTAATGAGGTGTAATAACATATTCAGGTGATGTAGTGTAGCACATTGCAGCTGCCCAGTGAAAAATATGTCTCCACATTTGGTGATTTAGATTTTTTATGATAAATATTATCACATGGTAGATTCAGTCTCTTTTTGACTCCATACTGCACCTGTCGATTTGTTAATATTTATGTTTCCATTATTACAAACTAAGAAAATAAAAGTCTGCCTGTAATTTATACCAGTGGTGGAAGAAGTACTAAAAGTAGCAATACTGTAAAATACTCTGCTACAAGTAAAGGTCCTGCATTCAAAATGTTGCTTAAGTAAAAGAACAAAACCCCTACTTAAAGGACTAAAAGTAAAAGTACTCATTATGTAGAATGGTACATTTCACACTCCTGTACATCATATTATTGGATTATAATGACTGATGCATTATTGTGTTCATCACATTTAATGTTGCAGCTGGTAAAGGGGAGCTGGTTTTAACTGGCCTAAATGTATTTAATTCAAATTGCTGCTGGGTAGCTTGTGAGTTTTCCAGCATATATCAATGAGGTCTTTTAATTATACTGTATTTTTAGTATTTATCTGGTTCTGAAAAGTAAAGTTATAAAATAAATGTAGTTGTGTAAAAAGTACAATATTTGCTTCTAAAATGTAGTGAAGTCAAAGTATGAAGTAAAAGAAAATGAATTACTCAAGTAAAGTACATATACCTCAAAACTGTACTAAAGTACAGTACTGGAGTAAATGTACTTAGTTACTTTCCATCTCTGATTTTTACTATTATGCAGTAACGGGGACTTGAGCATTGTGATATGCAGAAAATCTAAAAAACATTTCGTATGTAGTTGAGAAACTGCAGGTAGCTGTAGTTTGTCCATGTGATACTGTGGGAGTCCCCCTACACTTTGATAGCTATATTTAATTACAGTCTCATCCTGTGAGAACATACACACACAACCCCCAACTCTCACAACACAGCTGATGCTCACGCCTCATATGCATGCCATTCCTGATGGCCTCTGCGGCAGCAGCAGCAGAGAAGGAACAAATGCTGCATATCTGCAGGGTGCAGCTAATTTTGTTCATTCTTTATTTTTATTCACTGCTCTGCTGACAACTGCTCAACAACAGGACCACAAATAATCTACAGACATTAGGTTTGGACAGGAAACCACAATAATGACACAAACATGTTTTCTTGTTTGCATCTCTGCAGCTGCAGTGGCCAAAGACACATGGTATTTCTGAGCATATTAAAGATAATGTTCAGGTGTTAACGGCAGCCACACGCTGCTTCACTACCAACGACAAATAGCTCCTAGGTGGGCAGTTGCCATGGAAATCCACGGCAGACTCAACGTTTGCCAGCAAGTGATAAAGATTATTGACTCAGGCGGTCAGCTCTGTGAAAACCCAACTGCACCTAATATATAACACAGTTAACAAAAGGGCAGTCGGTGAATGAGCTGATAGGTGGCTGTTAATTTGAGCTGGTCATTGCAAAGTAAGAGCCTGCAGCAATGCTTCTCTGTTTTAATCAGAGCTGCCTTGAGCTACATGCTAACATGCTCAAAAATCACATAGCTAATGTGCCATTGTACCTAATTAGCATCTATTTGTGTCCTTCAACTGATTCTGTAAGATGTTCTGTCTAAATTTTGCTTTCTGCTTGACACAAAAAGTCATGCTGGCATGACTGAGAGATGAAAATTTTTTGTGTTTCTCACAGTGAGTAAAAACTCTGACCCGCTGGTCACCCTGCAGGAAAGGTTGGCAAAGTCATTAGGATTTATTGTCTGGGAACCATTTATGTCTGTGCAAGATTTGAGGGACATGCATCAAACAGTTGTTGAAATATTTAAGGCTGGATGAACATGGCTAAAAACAGCATCTGTGGCCATAAACTAACGACAGCTACTCACCTCCAGTCCACCAGACACAGAGATCTACAGTGTGCTTCAACAATGGTACATGTGCATTCAGTAACTATTAATCAGTCAGTCACCCTGTTAATCAGGCCAGTTTAAGAGACATGCCTTTAGTGGCAACACAAAGCTGCAGAGACAGATGGTCATATATGTCTGAACAACATCACAATCTCCTCCATATTCAAAACAACAGGAGAGGTCTGACGATGAGCGCCTGCCAGGGAGAAACCATCTCCACCAGGATAATGAGCATCTGCCCAACCAGCTCCGGGAAGTGACTCAGCAGCAGCTGTTGCCATGGGTTACCAGGAAGGACACCCATAGGATCCCAACAAGCTTGGTGCTGACACATCTGACCCCCCTCCTCCTCCCTGTGAACAGTGACTCCACCCCATCTGCTGCTCCACCCTTAAATCCTCCACCACTTTCTCTGGAGCCTGTGTGGAACCACGCAGCAGGCGGAGGAGAGGCGGGGGGAGGTGTTAATCCCAACTGAGCTAGTCTCCCTAGTCTCCCTGCACTAGCCCGCTAACCTCCACATCTACCCCTCCTCCTCCATACAGATTAATGCTTTAGTAAGAATAACTGGCTTAACAGCAATCCACTTACACCAGCATGTAAGATTTGCAAACTGTTACGTGGCCTGAAATCAATCACATCCTTCACCTGGAAGGAAACAGATGGAGACTTTTATGTCTCCTCTGCAGAGACGTGTAGTGAGCATAGTGTTTAACCCATCTGCAAGTTAAATACTGTAACAAACCTCCTCAGGAATGTCAGCTTATATCCCATGTGAGCACACTCCTAGCTGAGAGCTTAGCATTTGAAATGGATCATCACCACATCCATGCTGACTACATCGATGAGGGATTTCCTCCTTTAAAGCAAAGACACAGTGGAGTCAAAGCTACATACATGCTGCTCTAAATGCATACTGTTGACATGAAAAGTCAGCAATGTCATGCTAATGACATTAAGGTTTTGTAGCCAGTGGGGCTAATTTAGGACAAAGTGCTGAGTAAATCTCCTGCTGTGGCTGCTGGGTCACGGCACGCCATCCCATCCCATACTTGAGCACTGCTTGCTCACCTATGCATCAAACCAGCTGGACACATGAGAAATTGTGCTTTTATGCTTCTTTCCTTCTGATTTTAGGGCGACGCAAAGAAATATGCTCCTGGACATTAACCTGGACCAAAGCATCCAGTACCATGCTTTTATTTGCAATAACCCATCTTTAAAGTGAACTTTGGGCTGACAGTGGCGTTAACATTCATTTCCCTTCCTCTCTTACACACACAAAATTCATCTTCTGTGCTAGTAAATCTCTATGCAGGCTTTTAAGAGCGTCCACACGACAAAGTCCCTGAAGTAATCCTGAAGGACTGTTTGGTATCTGAACAGTAGTGTCAATAGCAGGTTAGACTAAGATGTAACATGAGACCAACTCCACCTTTAAAGTCTGAGAATAAAACACGCAGCTGTGCTGACAGATAAATGTCAGAGGGTTTGTGAAGCAGACTGCAGTACACATCTCTAGTAACAAATTCTGTTTTATTACAACATTTCACGGTTTTCCATTTCTGATAATGGTTTGTGGCAGAGTAACATGATTGCTGGGACTTTACAAAACTCCAAAGGATTTTGATTAAAACAAAAACATATCAATTGTCGACATTTTTTTCCTTTTCCTCATTTGACACAATTCAGAGACAGAGTGCAACACAAAAGCGATCTTGAATCAATCTGACAAAAAGGGTCAAGGTACAATTAAACCTGAAACAAGGTCCATTTGAGGATCCCCCAGATCTAGATGGAATCCGTTACGCTCTTATCCTTGTGTACATATAAAAGAAAAAAAAGCAATATCAATGTTTGGAGCATTTATATTTTGGCCAGCCTACAAACAAGTTGTGCATTTCTGAAAATTAGAAGACAAAACCTAAAAATATAAGAAGCCTGACGCCTCAGCTTTGGCGTAAAAGCAGTCACACAGGAAGTTGGGTGTAGGTGGTTTTGGTGAGACGGTGATGAGCTTCCTGGGACGTAGGCCACGCCCCAACCCTCAGACCTCTCCGCTGCATGTTGATATGGGTGGTTTAGGTTGTGTGAAAGAGATGTGCACTTTTAGGACCGTCTTCTGCAGCTCCCTGCCCCTTTCCGCCTCAGACACATCTTCCTCATCTCCTTGACAGACAGACGAGCGTGAAGGTGAAGGTGGTAGCCGCTGGGGGGGGGACGGGGCTGACTGCCCCGATGAAGGCATCGTCTGGCCACAGGCTGTGCAGCTTGGTTATTGTTGTCATTTTATAATTTGGGTTACAAAGTTATACAGCTAAAAGAAGTGAATAAAAACAAGGCAATGCAGGAGGAGGGGGGGGTGTACAGTGCATGACTGGAGGGAGGGGCTTCACGACTTCTCCGCTGCCTTCTCCTGTTCAATGGCTGTGGAGGGTGAGAGGAGAAGTGAGATTTACACTGGAAAAACTGGGTTAAAAAAATAATTCCATTTTAAAATGGCTTTTTATCAGTGCTATTAACAACATAGGAGCTAAGAAGGCATGTGATGTAGTCTACACCCAACACACACAGGTTACAGGAATCAGCCTTACTCTCTTTTGAAGGCAGGGGATTCTTCTCCTGCGTCTCTATCTTCTTCAGCTTGGACTTGTCGAAGTTGGTCACCTCTGAAACGTCGGGCTTCTCACTCATTGTTGCAGGTTGTCTGTGAGAAGAAGGAACCAGACAGTTTACCAGAGAGCGGACAACTGGAGCCTGAAAGTATTCATGTGCAAACCACAGGTGCTTGTGACCAGTGAGCTTCTGCAATAACCAGGTAGTGGGAACGGGACGTAAAACGTATCTAATGTCCACTAGGCGCACGTGGTCTAATCAGTTTAATCAGTGGAAGGGCGTTGTCCAAATCTCTGGGACAAAAATCATTTGTTCAGTTAATCCACATGCGCCACCGCAGAGTGCTTTTCTCTACAATGTGCGCGGCAGCGTCCGCCTTCTTTTGTTCGCC